CAGAGGAGTGATGCTCACCGCGCCGCCCCCCTCCCGTCAGCACAGCTGGTGCGTGGCAAACCCACTCCCCACCCTGTCCAATAGGAGAGTGCCTTTTGTGGGGAAGGACCCTACTTGCCTGACTCGAAGAAGCATCTTCCTCCCTCCCTGAGGGACTTGGGGTCCTGGGGGAGGCTTCAAACCCAAGTGTCCCTCCGCCAGATCCTGCCGTCACTACCTGTTCCGGGAGCTTGAAATCTGTGTCTCCATCCCCTGTCTACGGAACAGAGTTGCTAATATCCATGTCAGAGGGCGACGGTGAGGACTGCAGACACAGGCCAGGCACACGGGGCCAGGTCAAGAGTAAACTCCGCGCAGGGCCACCCGCGAGGGGAGCCAGCTCCTGCTCTGTGGCAGCAAGTCCCCGTCTCAGGCCCGAGGCCGGGGGGCAGAGAATGCATTTCTTTGCTCTCCTGTAACTTGGTTTGTCTCTCTGCCCAGTTTCCCAGGTGGCAGAAATCCAGCCCATCAGCCCAGGCTCTGGTGCTCCCTCTTCCTTGGAGAGGTTTGGGGAAGAGATGCTCACTGAACAGCAAGGCAGGCAGGGTGGGCACCTGGGCACCTGGCCCTGGTCCGTCTCCCTGTGCTGGCACCTGCCGGGATATCCCTACCATCTGGGCACACTGGTCACACTGGTCACACTGGCACTGCAGTCCCTCCCTTGTTCCCAGCCACTGGTCTTTCAGACATGCAGGCACTCGGGGCCACAGCACATCACTCTTGGGCATGTGAGAGACCCTCTGGCCGCCAGGCCACACGAGGGCCTGGGCACCTCAGGATGGTCTTGGATCCGTCTGCTCCTTCACCACGGGTATGGGAGACCCTGAGATCTTGCCACCTCTCTAGGTTTACCCGGGAAAGGGGCACAGCTGCCTCTGTTTCTGATCCCCCACGCCACGTTAACCCTTTCTGGTCCAGATAACCTTGATCAGCCTGGCATGGCAGCTTTCCTCCACCTTCCGAACGTGCTGTCAGTGCCCGAGTCCTCCACGGCCTGAAAGCCCAGGCTCTCGCCACTCTAGAGCCTAATCCGTTGACCCTCAAACATCTACCTCTGCTTTTCTCAAAGGCCATGTGCCTCCGACTAAATGCAGAAGGTAGGAAAGCAAGATGGAGGTTGATAATTCAATCTACTTTTCCATCACACTGTGTTTTTGTAATACTGTGTTTTTGTACTCAGAAAAACCAGGAAGCACAAAAATGGGGGGTTCTTGCTCTGCCGGAGCATCAACCTATGAACCAGGAGGTCACAGTTTGATTCCAAGTCAGGGCACATGCCCAGGTTTCAGGCTCAATCCCCAGTGTGGGGCATGCAGGAGGCAGCCAATCAATGATTCTCTCTCATCATTGATGTTTCTCTCTCTCCCTCTCCCTTCCTCTCTGAAATCAATAATATATATATGTATATATATTAAAATGGGGTGTTCTTACCAGGCTTGAGAATAATTTTGATGTTACTGTGATCCTCCTTGTGGGCTGAGCCCTTCCCTCTTGGGGTCCTGAGGGCCTCTTTCTCTGAAGCTGGGAACAGGCTTCTGGAAGACCCTACTCTGCAGTATGAACGGTGCCTTCTGCCCAATGTGCCTCTGCTGCAGACACCACCGCCATGCAGAGGGCCCCCTTGACCTGTTGTCTCTCTTGGTCCCGCCTCATCAGCACCCCTATTGAGCATGCTCCAGTGTGCACCAGCCAGGCCACCACCCCGCTGCTGCCCGCTTCTGCCCAGCCGCCTATTGCTGCCTCTCCCAGCGCAGCCTCGCCACCCCTGGCTGCAACCGCTGCCCATGCTGCCGCTGCCTCTGCCTCGGCCCCTGCTTCAAGCCCTGCGGACAGTCCCAGGTAACTGCCCCACACGTGCCACCCCGGCTGTGGGGAAGGGAGGCAGGAGTGGCCTCACCCTGGCTCCATGTGTGGGCAGCTGTGTCTCACCCTCAGAAAGGCCCACCCCAGGTGGTTAGGAGCCCAGGGCCCAGGAGGCCAAGGCTAGCACTGCCTGCTGCAGAGAGTGCAGGGGAGTGTGAGTGTGGCTGAAGACAGGAGGGGATGTGGGCCCCTCTGCCCTCTCCTTGGGCAAGAGAGGGATCTCTCTCTCTCTCTCTCTCTCTCTCTCTCTCTCGCGCGCGCGCGCGCACACACACACAGTAAGACAGCAAATGGAGACTGGAAAGTCTGTTTCCAGAACTGGGATTAGAGGAATGGAAGTTGTCGCGTGGGCTAGGGAAGCTGAGGAAAGCTCCGTGGAGGGAGGAGCATTGACCTGGTCACAGGAGACAGGCCAGATATTTAGCAACTGACTTGTCCTGGGCCCTTAGCCTCTGCTCTCTGGGCGGAGAAGCAAGAGGCACCTGGTGCAGTGTGGCTTCAACCTCTCCTCCGCCACTTCCTGTCTGTAATCTCCAGAAAGTTACTGAATCTGAACGTCAGTTTCCTCGTCTGCTAAGACATTTAATGCAACGTTGATTTTGTAGGGTTGGGACAGAAAAAGTGTGCCTAAGCCACCTCGCACACAAGTGGTCTCCAGTGTTGCAGCGTACTGCTCTCCACCCGCTCTCCTGGCGCCCAGCAACGGGGCTGGGTGGAGAGCACCCGGGGAGGTGGGGGCAGGCTGGCAGGTGGTCTGGAACACTGGGCAGCAAGCAGGCCTCCAGACCCAGCTCTCTACGGGCTGCATGGAGTGTCCACCTGGTGTTAGGGTCAGAGCCAGCTCTCAGTCTCCTGCCCCCGCCCCCCCCCCCCCCCCCCCCCAGGTTTTTTGAAAAAGGAAAGTCCCTAAAAAGGGGGGGCCAAAAACCCTGTGGCCCCTTGCGGAGGGGAGGGGGGGGGGAAAATATACAAGATTTTTTGTTTGTTTTTCTCTTTCTGGGGGGTGAAAAAAGACCGGATGGGGAGGAAAAAAAATTTTTCCCCGCCCAATAAAAGTATAAAGGGGGACACCCCCACGGCTTCCCTAGATTATTTTTTCACAGGTGTTTAGAGGTGCTGATAGAAGGTTCCTCCTTCCTCCCCCCACAAA